ATCTTGCCAATTTGGTAAAAGCACGGTCGTATTCCGCCACTGTCTTGTCGCCCTGTGTCAGAGTCTGGAACTCTATGGTCTTGCGGTCTCGGACACTAAGAGGGAAACGCTTGTTGTAAAATAACTCCAAAAATCTGGCCCAAGTCAAACCTGGGTTACCTTCTCGAATCATCATCCACCATCTTCGAGCATCGTCGCCCAATGTGAATGCTGCTAATAACACCTTCTGAGCGTCGGTGCTAGGAAAAATCTCGAACAACTTCTCCATTTCCAAAACCCATACTTCGGCTTTCATCGGCTCTATACCCCCTTGGAACCTTGGCTGGTTCATCTTTTTGAACTCTTTGATCAAGGTTATCGTACCGTCCCCATACAAAGCTTGCTGTGGAGGCACTTGCGGCACTGGAGGAGGTGGAGGTGGAGGCGGAGATGCGTATCGGCCGTTTGTCTGCTCGGCCTGGGTAGAGGTAGTACTAGTGTCTTGAGGCCTAGGTTATCTCAACTAACGGACCAAACCTTCGACCAACCTTTCCAATCTGTCCTCAGAATGATCTCGGCCAACGGGAGGTCTAACCCTTCTCATGATGCTAGGAGTATGCAAAATATGACTTTAAAACAAAATGAGCAAATAAACATGTACGCAAGTAACAAATAGTTATGCCGAGATGATGCACACCTTGTCAAGTAGCAAGCAATATGATGCAATCCTAATATCATTCTAAGGGACATCCTATGCTCTTTAGGACTCAAAGTGTGTGAATAACGTACTATAAGAAACCGATGCTCTGATACCAATCTGTCACGACCCCATTCCGCCCCTAGTAGAATGGTGCCGTAATGGCCAATAATCCAAGATTACCAAAGGCCAACTTACAAAGATCACACACAATCAGAGTATACGTATGGGGCTTATAAGTACGGAAGCAATAAATTTAAATCTAAATAGTCCACAAGAGCTGTGCATAGATCAAATGAAATGTCATACATAACGTGGCTTTACAACTTGAGTACAAATAAAATAAATACATATTACATCTTGATCAAAAGGCTTTTCAAGCCGACATATACAAAAGAGATAACTACAAGCCAAGAAGCACAATCTTCAAGATGCTACAAAACATGAATCCAAAAACATCTTGCAAACAATCATCTAGGCGTCACCGCCTTCCTGCTCGTCATCTACATATATATAGAGAGGGTGAGCTTGGATACTCAGTGAATGATACCAGTAATAAAGGTTTTGCATGAATGATATTCAAGACCTCTTTTCTAAACAATACATAGCATAACTTATACAAAATCAAGGGATGAACCAAGTCCATTAATCAAGTCTTTCAAATTTTCAAGGGATGCTTACTAGCATCAATATAATACAAGAGATGACATTTCGGACAAACAAACCCACACGGAAAACCGTTAGTGGCAAAACAAGGGTGCAGTTGCATTATAGTCCCCTGGCACTAAGGACTTTCAAAACAAGGGTGCAGTTGCATTATACTCAACAAAGATCCGGAAACAAGATTCTTGCGAATGTCCAGTACATGCAGCACATTGTTGTGAGTAAGTTCCTTTCCTGATGTCATCTTGAGTAGAATCTTTCTTTGTCCTTCAACTTTGGAAGTTGAGGAGTTACCCACAAAAAGTTGTTCACCATTGTCCACTGTAGAATAAGATGTGAATATCTTTTTGTCAGCACAAATATGGCGAGTAGCACCAGTGTCCACTACCATTCTTTAGGATTTCCGACAAGATTTGCCTCGAAAACAATTGCAGAAAGATTTATGACATCTACACCATTGGAAATTTTATTCATTTCGGTCATTTTGGCTTTAGCAACCTTCTTACTTGATCTTCCTTTGCCTTTACGAAAGCCAGTTTCTAAGAACTTCTCTGGCTTTTTACCATGATTCACTGGTATAGTCCCAACATAAGGAGAGGTAGGCGCAATGGCAATCACCATACCAGTACTGGTTTGAACATTGGTTTGACCAGTTTCAGTAGCCATAAATTATAAATTATAAAACAAAATTATAATTAGAATTTATATTACATAGAAAATTAATCCAAATTCACAGAATTAAATTCTGTAAAAATAAAAGAAACAAAAATGTAAATTTTATTTTTCAATAAGTTGGAAATAAAATAAAATTTTATTTAACCAAATTAATTCTACACAGAAAATTAAATTTCTGTAGCACTTCAATAATTTAAAAAAAAAACTAAAACAGAATTTTTTAATTAATGAACACTCAGAAATAAATTAAGAAAACCAAAATTAATTTCTGACAAAATTCCACAAATAAATATTCTAAATTGTTAATGACACCAGTATATTACTACTAGTTGTCAAAAAAAATAGACAGTATATTACTACTATTTATCAAATAGCATATAATCACTATTTGTTTTTCCAACCAGAATACTATATTGTAAATTCACAGAAAATAATTTCTATAAAAGAAGAAAGAGAAAGGGAAACAAACGAAAAATTATGTAAACAGAATAATTCGAATCTGTCTTAAGATTGTTGGAACAATCTTCTGTGTAAATAAAATAAACTGAAACAAAACCAAACTGTTAGGTTTTTATTCTTGACAATCCCGTTTGACAAAACTCCTTTAAGTTGTATTTGTTTTCGCACTTTTTATTTCAGTGAGGCTATGAGTGTTTAGATGCGAATCCAACCCGAATTATGCCTTACAGAGAAGTTTGTGATGTTAATACTTTCAAGATTGCCACTTCGTTGATTATGACAGGGATCGAACTACCCGGTCAGCTCGTGGGGGTCTAGGGGGCAGCGCCACGGCAGGGTCAAGGGGCAGCGTCCCCGAAGCAAAATGCAAAAATGCATTCCAAGTTACCTCCCCGCTCGAGCGTCCATTCCCCCACTCGAGCGAAGAATGCTGAGTTACAGAAGTTTATTCGGCTGCAAAAATACTGGATGTTGTTTTTTCCCGCTCGAGAGGAACTTTCCGCGCTCGAGCGTAAGTACGCTCAAGCGGCCATTTTGACGATCGAGCGGAGATCGCGGGACAGTTTTCTATAAATACGTGTTTCAGTCCAAATCTAGGATAACTTCTCCAGATCTTCTTTTTGGGTTCTAAGGTTTATATCTGAGGATATTTTGCTAGTTTTCTTTGATGTTTGGATTGAGTATCCAACTTATGGTTTAAAGAGTACACATCAAAGGATTATTTGTTTGTTCTACACAAAAGTGAGAGTTGTTCTTTGGTGGATTCTGAAGAATTCGAGCCTGAAGCTTTGCTGGATTCCGGAGTGGCTCATCGTCAAGACAATTTCGAGGTGAAGACGGGGTTGGAAGAGGCACATAGAGGTTGGTTCAATTCGGGCGTGGATTCGCTAGGTAATTGAGACTATACCTGTGTAATTCCTTTATATCTTCTTAGTGGTTTGTTTTATAGCTATTGCCCGTGATTTTTTTTTATCACAATTGGAGGTGTCCAATTGTGGTCTTTCCACGTAAAATCCTTGTGTAGATTTGTCTTGATAGTTTGATTGGGATTGTTATATACTACTTAAAATTGATACATAATCACAAATCAACATCCAGGAAACCAAACAAATAAGTATATAACGCACCGAATTTATTTATCGAACTGAATTAAAAATAAAAGACCAAGTCAAGTGTGTGACACTCTGTCATTAAGACATATTCGCCCCACTACGGTGCTTACGGTTATGTGGCGTCTATCTCCCAGGATACAATGATCTTAACCAATTTGTAGTAGCACTCAAAAACAAATTGTATGGCGAACCAAACCTGTGTTCTAACTCTCTGAAAGTTATTCTAAAACTAATATGAAGAATAATGCACCAAAGATAAAAGTTGGACAGCACAAAAGAATTAATTTCAGACTTTTTTTTTTCCATGCCAAGACTGCTGGAATTGAAGTGTATTATAGGCAAAATTCACAGCCCCGAACAAGTGTTATTTGTCACTGAACGCGTGCAAACTAGTGTCAACAGATACTATTTTGAAATTCAAACAGATTCGGAGTAGTTATATAACTGAATCTGTCCGTTGCTTCTTGGAACAGTTTTTCAAACAGTTTGAAAATATATCCGTTGCTGGAACAAAGTTTTAAACTGTTGAAATAGTTTTTTTTTTTTTTTTTTAACTGTTGGAACAGTTTTGGAAGATGTGCAACTTTAGGAAAACAAAAATTTGAATCTAAATTTCAATTTCAATTTGAAATTGGAAAAATTTAAATAAATTTTTGTCCAAAAAATTAATATTAGAACAGACCCAACCCATACCTGTGCTTGACCCGTGCGCGCATGTGTGGTGGTTTGGGCTAAGGTTCACTTTGTCCATAACTCCTTCCTTCTACAAACTTGGGGTGCCCCTTGGGGCCTAACCCAAGTGTTGCAGTCTAGAGCTTATATACACAAAAAAACTCTCTTAAAGTTTTAATGTAGGACAACCCATTACAAGGAAACCTACATTCAATTCTTTAAATGTCCATTCCACGAACCCGAAAACGACGTCTACTTCTCATTCACTCATAAATGGTTTTGACGAACCGTCTTCACCGTGTGACTTGCCATGCGGCAAGGAACACGTCACCTATTCGGACCCGCCTCAAAAAACGTTTGGGGCCCACTCAATTTTGGGCTCAAAGTTGGCCCAGAATAAGCCTTATAAACCAAATTTTCCAACATGAACTACATTTAGTCAAACATCTTACAAAAAATAATTTGTGATCACGTAAGGTTTAGGAATCCACAGGTCTTATCAGTAGGCCCTCCTGCAAAATTTCATGCACCATGCTATCACAAATTCAATATAGAAAAGAAACTTATTTTCCATTCAAAGGACTGCCTTATTTCCAATAAAAGAAAGCAACCATGCATGTCCACCTCATCAATGGCCATGCCAGGATTTCTAACAATAACATACAACTGAACTTAAGCTGTGACAATAAGAAAGAAGTCCATTCAGGAGGAACTCCACCTCATCGTTTTATGTTTTTTTTTTATTTATTTTAATTAATTTGTCCAAAACCTGTATATATCCCACGCAACCTGTAACAAGTATAAAAACAAAACAATAAGTAAATAATAATTTTGTGTGTTTTTTTTCTATTCGATTTTATGTCTTTAGACTTCTTGTTAATTTAATAGTAAGTTTCAAGACATAGAGAAAGACCACATAACCAACACCATGAAAATAGATAGAACACCATTACCTTATTCAATAAAATTATTTGTTTGGCCTATATGAATGTTTATTACAGAGCCAGGAAAAAGAATACTAAAATTTAAGTTGAGCATTTACGAAAATATGATAAACCTAATTCAATCAATCACATGCCTGACATCAATTTTATGTAAAAGTACAATACCTAGGATTGGTTCAGTTCCAGTGCACATCCAAATGCCAAATCAATCAAAGAAAAACTAAGAATGATGGATCAAAACAGGGGGACATTTAAGCTTTAAAAAAAATCGAGTCATTTTAAGCTTAAAAAAATAATACAAAAAAAATGGGGACATTTATAGCACCAAATCCAAAAAAAATTCTAAGATCCCATTTTGGATCAAAGCAGTAGCAACTAGGCAAGTCAAGAGATGGAAAACAACAAAATAAGAAGAAGGAGAGGAAGATTTGGGTACCGATTGAGTCTCGTAGAGCCTGAATTTCTGCATAAAGTCGTGAGGCGCAGGTGGAAGTGAAAGCGGTGGCACAGTAGTAGCAGGAGAGGAGGAGGTGGGTTTGTCTTCGTTCTCCAATGCCATTGTAGGGCGTTGGACGGTGTTGGTGGGTTCAGAAAAAATCCCTTAATTATATACTCTACCCACCACAATATATAATATATATATACACACACCTACCTATATATATAAAGAGAGAGAATTGGAAAGAATCGAATTTGAAACTATAGTTTAGGGTTTGGAGTTTTGAACTGAGAATGGTTGTGATGTCCAAGAAAATAGGGCAAATCTAGGTGAATCAGTGCTCCAGTTGTTGGCGACTGCGAGAAGGAACGGCGGAGGCACGACTGGTGGAGCGGAAGTGAGAGAGAGAGGAGAGAAGAGCAGCGGAGAGGCAGAGATAGAAGGAGAGAGAGAGAGAGAGAGAGAGAGACAGAGATAGAGGCACTATTTGTGGTTTGGAAACCAAATATAATATATATATATATATATTACACATTATCAATTTTATACTGAAGAGAGAGACAGAGATAGAGGCACTATTTGTGGTTTGGAAACCAAATATAATATATATATATATATATTACACATTATCAATTTTATAAATCCCTCCAAAATTTGAAATGTCTGCCTCCAAATATTTTAGTTTTTTGGCGCCTAAAATATTTTTTGGTCACTGAAAATAAGTTTTTGGCGACCAAACTTTTGGTCGCCAAAGATAAATAATAATTTTTTATTTTCCATTGGGCGACTAAATGGTTTTAGTAGCCAAAACTCAATATATGGCGACTAAAATATGTTATGGTAGAAAATAAGTTTTTGCGACCAAACTTTTGGTCGCCAAAGATAAAAAATAATTTTTTATTTTCCATTCGGCGACTAAATGGTTTTAGTTGCCAAAACTCAATATACAGCGACTAATTTTTTTTTTGTCGCCAATTCTGGCATTTTTAGCGACTAAATTTTTTTTTAGTCGCCAATAATCAATATACGTCGACTAAAAAAAAATTAGTAGCTAAATATTTACTTTTGGTGACTAAAAAAACTTATTGGTCATCAATTCCATAACTTTAGGCGACTAAATTTTTTTTAGTCGCCAATTTTAGTCGGCAAAGGCACATTTTGTTGTAGTGTAACCCTCAGGCTAACTTGATGTATTTTTAAACAAATATTTTTTATTTATTTTTGGAGCATAAAATTTTATAATTTTGGAGCCGTCAGTTTGAAATTTTTAGTCATAAATTTAAAATTAGGTAAAAAAATTTGCATTCGACCTTCAATTTTATAAGTGCAATTAAAAATTCCACTGCTTTGAATACAGTAAAATTTCTCTAATCAAGTAGTAAGAGCGAAATTTCACCGACTTAGTTAAGAAAATTTCATTGAAGTTAGTAAAATATCATTGTCACTACTACAAGTCAATAAAATTTCTCTAATTAGAAGTCACAAAAATTTAATTGACTGAAGATAGCCAACTCAATACAATTTTGACAATTTTATTTTTTTTAAATTTCATGTTCATCATGGATCTTATTTGATAGATCTCGACAAAAGAATTATAAAAATATAAATTTTATGAAAAACAAAAATCTACATCAAAATTTATTAAATTTTTAAGTTTTGAAAATTATTCCAATTTTGAGAAGTATGTGTTATGGGGGTGTTTGTTTCAGCTTTTCAGAGCCAACTTATGGCTTTTAGCTTTGAAAAAGTTATTTTGGACTGTTTGGTTAAACTTATTTCAAACAGTTTCTAATTCTAACAGCTTATTTTAATTCAAAAAAGCTGATTCTGAGAAGCTACTCACTTCTTACTTCTGATTATCAGCTTCTAATGTGGACATGTTAATTAACGGTTATACTCTTAGATTTTTTATTTTTTTAAAAATAGAAAAAGACTCAAATGGACTATTAAATATTATTATTATGAGAAATGTAGACAAACAAAAAATAAAAATTAATTGAAAAAGCTATTTCACAACTTATTTAACAAACACTACTCAGCAACTTAAATTTATAATCCAACAGTTACACCAAACAGATTAACAACTTTTGATTAAAGTCATAATTTATAATCTGTTAAATTATAATCTATAAGCTGTTTTAACAACTACACCAAACGGGGCCTGTTTGTTAGCTTTAGTGTTGAGATTCCATAAGGGTATTTTGTCCAAATAAAACACAATGTACTTTTGGAGGACTTTTACTGATAAGTAATACTTTTGTGTCCTTATCCTACTAAAGACTTACAACGAGGGGGTTAGGAAAAAAAAATTTCAAAAACCATATATTTTTTAATATATTACAATTAATTAATTTATTTATTTAATAATGGACAAGGCTGGGTTGTATTTAAAATATAAATTTCAAACCCAAATTATTAATGGGAAAATTAGTCTAAGGTCCCTCTCTTATTTTGAGTAATACAAGAGATCCACAATATTATTTTATGATGTCTAAGGTCCCTCAACTCTATACCCATATATCACAAAGAAATTTGTTATGTAATGCGAGGAAAAAACAACACGGAACTGTTTTTAGAGAAGCGAAGACAACGACGACGAAGATGAAGAAGGAGCCTCTTTCTCTCTCTCTCTCTCTCTTTCTCTCTCTCTCTCTCATCATCATTTTCATATTCATCATGATCATGTTATCTTCTTCAGTTGTTCTTGTTGTTAATGATTTTATATATATATGTGATTTGTATAGTTGCTGGTTGCAACAAATTGAAGAACACTGAATGGATTTGGAGTCAAGATCCCAACATTTGCCTTGAATACGCTAGCACCAAGTTCCATACCCACACTTGCACAGGTCGATTTCAGATCCACTTTTGTTTTTTTTTTTTTTCTTTTTTTAATTGAAATTTGGATTTGGATTTGGACTAATGATGATGAATTTGAACGCAGAGAAAATGATAAACAAATCAGAGAAAATTATAAACAAATCAGAGAAAATTATAAATAAATGAGACAAAATTTCTCTAGGTTGGATTTAATTTTTCTAGTTTGGACTAGAGAAATTCTCTAGTTTTGATTGAATTTTCTCTGGTTTGGATAGAATTTCTCTAGTTTGGATTGAATTTTCTCTGATTTGGATTGAATTTCTCTGGTTTGGACCAAAGAAATTCTCTAATTTGGATTGAATTTTCTCTAATTTGGACTGAATTTTCTCTGGTTTGAACTAGAGAAATTCTCTTATTTGGATTGAATTTCTCTAGTTTGGACCAAAGAAATTCTTTAATTTGGATTGAATTTTCTCTAATTTTGACTGAATTTTCTCTGGTTTGAACTAGAGAAATTCTCTAGTTTGGATTGAATTTTCGTTGATTCAAATATGGAGTTGATGAATAAGATTGAAAAGAATAGGCTTTTTTGGGAGGTTTGTTTTGGCTTCTTGAGTATGTCATTTTTTTTATTTTATTTTTTTCTTTCTTTCTTTTTTCCTTTGTAGAACATGCTTTGATGCATGAAATGTAATTGTTGTCTGTCATAGAAGTTAGTGAACCATAAATGTCTAGAGAAAAGTTTAGAAACAAACTGCCCCATCTGCTGTGAGTTCTTGTTTACATCAAGTGCAACAGTTAGGGGTCTACCTTGCGGCCATTACATGCATTCAGCTTGTGTTTCAGTCATATGCTTGCAGAAACTACATTTGCCCAATATGTAGCAAATCTATGGGAGATATGGCGGTTTACTTTGGCATGTTTGATCCTTTGCTGGCTACTGAGGAGCTTCTAGAGGAATACAGGGATTGTCTTCAGGATATACTCTGCAATGATTGTGAACAGAAGGGCACAACACGCTTCCACTAGTTATATTACAAGTGTGGCTTATGTGAATTGTACAACAGCTAACCCATTTTTTCTGGAGAGAATTTCTATCCAGAGAAATTTTCTGAGAGGTCCAGAGAAATTTTCGGAATTTTTCTGGAGAGAATTTCTCTAGAGAGTGGATCAATGTTGCAGGACCTTAGATATTATGAAAATATTGGATGCCTTTTATGCTATAAAATTTTAACACTAGGGATCTTAAAAAAAAAAAAAAGTATTAATATATCAGGCTAAAAATATTAACCCAACCTAATCCCATGAGTTAAAATAATCTTTCAAAACCTTTAAAAAAATACGATTCTACCACTACAAGAATTAACACTTTTGCCGACCAAAAAATTGGTCGCTAAAAACTCATTTTTGGTCGGCAAAAGTTATCCGCGACCAATTTTTTTGGTCGCTACTTTGGTCGCCAATTGAGGGTCGGCAAAAGTAATTCGCAACCAAAATTTTGGTTGGTCGGGAAAAGTTAGATTTGCCGACTAAATTTTTGGTCGCTAAATAGAGATATCCTGCGACTAATCCATTTTGTCGCTAAAACACTTTGGTCGCGAAAAGTGATATTTTCCCGATCAAATATGTTAGTCCCCCTCATTGTCACATTTCGCGACCAAAAAGTTGGTCGCCAATTGTGACATTCCACGACCAAAAATTTTTGGTCGCCAATTGTGACATTCTACGATCAAAAATTTTGGTCGCCAATTGTCACATTCCGCGACCAAACATGTTTGTCGCCAAAAGAAATGTTTGCGCAACTAAAATTTTAGTCGGCAATAGACCTATTCGCGACCAAATCATTTGGTTGCCAAAATTAATAATTTTAACGACTAATTATTTAGTGGCCAAATGTGCTTGGTGATACACCGACTATTTTATTTAGTCGGCAAAAGTATAACTTATCTTTCCCGACTAATCAATTGGTCGCCAAAACTAGAAAAACAAAACCAAAATTTGGTCGCAACATCCAACAAAATAAACCTGTAATTTATAATAATCCATCCAATTTATTCAATATAATCTGTAATTTGCAAAAATCATTCAAACCAACAAATAAATTGAATTATGAACATTCAACAAAATACATACATCAACAAAATACACATTCAACAAAATAAATTTATTATTGGTAACATATTAAATAAGTGTGAATAAAGTTAATAAAATCAAAGTACAAGGTTCTAACCTGCAAAATCCAAAATAAATAACACACTCCACTAGCACTTCTAGTCTTTTTTCTGCGTACAAGGTTCTAACCTGCAAAATCCATATTAAATATCACTCTTTCATTAATATGGTAACATATTTAATAATTGTTAATTGAGTAAAATGCAGGGCTACTTCAACTGCTTTTTCTAACTCTTCTGCACTAACACATCCCTTGAGGTCCCTATCCACTAGCACTTCTAGTCTTTTTCTGCGTACAAGGTTCTAACCTGCAAAATCCAACTAATAATTACGATCCATGATTAATGGACACAATGGAAAAAAGAAAATACAACTTTGGGAAGTAGGGTGAAAGAAAATACAAAAGAAAATACAAGGTTCTATCAATTCTTTTCTTACTAAAAACATGAAAATGGAAACTTTGCACCCAAAAAAATAAAAAAGAAGAAAATAGTACCAAAATACAGATATCATAAAATAGTACTTACCCAATCAAGGATCATTCCCTTCTGAATCTGACCATTTCCAGCATCTAATGCCTTCTGCCCTGTTACAAGTTCCAATAGCAGTATGCCAAATCCAAAAACATCGGTTTTCTCAGAAGACCGCCCAGTTGAAAGATACTCGGGGGCGATGTGTTCTACAGTACCCCTCACAGCAGTAGTGACATGTGAATCCCTAAGATCTAACAGCTTAGCAAGACCAAAATCCCCAACAACCGCTTCAAATCTTTCATCAAGCAAAGTGTTTGCGGCTTTGACATCCCTGTGAATTATTCTTGGATTGCACTGCTCGTGTAAGTATAAAAGTCCGCAGGCAGCACCAAGGGCAATATGCATGCGTTTATTCCAATCCAAAGACGGCTTTTCCCCACTAGTGTCTGTTAATGAGAATTCAGAGACAAGGAAGTTGTATTTGTATTCAATTAGAGAAACCATGTGAATGGAATATAACTAGTTCCCATGCAATTTTAAGCCCAATAAGGATGGAAACTTGTCTAACAATCAATCATAGTAACATTGAAATTCATCATTTACTAGCATAGTGATTATATAATGATGCACGGTGGATTTTGACCTAATTCTTTCCTTTAGACCCTCAAATTGGTGATTTTGCCAATTTTGGAAAGTTATGTTCTAGTAATAACTTTATTTGGGGATATATCCGTTTTGACATATTTCTAATATTTTCTAGTATCCAAATTTGGACTTAACCCAAATTTCTCAAATTTTTGTAATTTTTTTTTATTCTTTTTGTTACTTTTGTGTCTAGCAAGGAATTAGTTTAATTAGTTGTTTTCTTGTTGGATTAGGGCTTCTCATATTATAAATAATCATGTATGCCTTGGGGCAAGAGAACTTTTGATCAGTATTATTCAATTCCTCTTTCAAAATTCGTTTCTTCCTAGTGGATTCAAGGATTCTTTCCGTAGATTCGGTATTCTTCGTCCACTGGAATGATATCTAGTTCTATGTGATAATTCCGTTGCGTCATATACAAAAAAACAATTAACAATTTTTAAGCATAACTTTACTTTAATTTAAGGGGCTTACTGTAATTTACCCTAAAAAAAATCGTATTAAGGCAGTCCATTGCAAGTCACTCTTCCTACAAGTTTATTAAAAATATCAGACGTAAAGAGACGGATGGATATTCCCGAATAAAGCGCACAAGCTTTAAATGAATATGGTGACAATAGACATTCTGTCCTTACCCTAATGTTACAACACTAGATAATAGTTGTAAGTTACATCAATTCATTGTATTGGTGATAATGCGCCAAGTAAAGAAAATCTAGAGATGAAATGGATAACCCCCTATGATTCTTTCAAAAGCACGATTGTCGAAACAACAGTAGAATCAGAGTTCAATGGCAGCAACATCTGTTATTCCTAGTTCAACACAATTTGGGTTGACACCAAGTTCTTCTAACATACTGAATGCAGAAAATCCGTAGTAGGAGTGATAAAGATCAGGAAGCTGGCCCAGGAATTTATTGAAACCACCATACTGGTGCAGGAACGATTACAAGAAGATGAAAATCAGAACTTCGTAAATTACCTCAGGAAGATCTAATAGATATGCTTCCTGTATGTGAGTAAAATTACATCAACAACATTGCAATAAATAAGTTTCCAAAAGAAAAACAAAGACAATGAGGATCTGTATGGAGTATAATGCCTACATAATTATGCATATTTCATATAATTTTTTCAAGTATGTCATGGCTCATATAATGGAACCCTTCTAATCATTGTTAAGCACTTTATCACTTTACGTAATGAATAATAGATCTAAGGAAGCAGAAGGAGAAACAATAGTACCTGGGACTGGCAAAGTCAACAAAAATTGGCGTAATGCTTCCTCGTCAATGAATTTGTGGCCCCCTAAGATCCTCAGAACTCCTCCAACCCTATAGAAGAACATTGCTGTGTCATGCCACAAGAACTGCAACTTAGACCATGGGGCTTTAAGAACGTATTTTGGAATTTACCAAAAGGCATAACAGGTGTCACTAGGCTTGTTGGGTCGACCTTGAAATCCACCATTAGCTGCCAGCCTCTGCATGAAGAAAAGGATGAGAGTGAAAGTACTCTCAAAGTTGAGAATTCATCAAGGATATACTAAAAAAACGTCAAACATGCAAATTGTTTGATAAAATGCAAGATCATGGAGTGTCATTTGATTCATTCACGAGCATTGAATCATTTGGAAGTTCCTTTGGCTCTGAACAGCTTTATCTCAGTTCATGTGTCAGAAGCACAGGGTTTCAGTGCACAGTAAATACCCTTTCCGTATTAAATGAGAAAATAAACCTGTAGGCTCCAATCTAGAAGCAATGGCACATTTATGATGGAAGAGGATGCGCCTTTAGACAATACATCATCTTCAATGAATCCCGAATACCGGAGAGACGCAACGGCACAGTAAGTTACACCACCTGTGCTACTAAAACAAATGAGTAGTTAAAACTATAACATGGGGTCGGTTCTAATAAATCCTAACAAATATTACTGGAAGAGGAAATGACCTGTGGAAAAAAACAGGCAAAAAGATTTGAAGCTTGGATTATAATTTGGAATGTAGGAGCTCCATCCTGTCCCAATTCCTTCACATTTGTTTGACAAGAACCAATGGTATGACAGGCATGTATCTGAACGAAAAACAAAAAAATTTGATCAGTCATGATCATCAAATGACCATATTAGGTTCTTGTAAAGGCTGTAAAGCTGAAAACCTAATGCAGGATAAGCTAACTTCCTGGAAACGAGTATAGAAGCTTGTTTTTTTTTACTAAGCTTAAAATGGAAAAGTTTTTCTTTTCCTCTGCCTACATCTCATTAAATGTACAAGGCGTTGAAGTTCAATAGGATAGGTCCACCAATGAGTTCCTGGAAACTAGTATAGAAGCATTTTTTTTAAACTAATCTTAAAATGAAAAAGTTTTTCTTTTTGTCTGCCTACAACTCATTAAATGTACAAGGTGTTGAAGTTCAATGGGATAGGTCCACCAATGAGTCCATATCCAGGAAAATCCATTGCCAACACTGTATACTCAATTCAAAAAATTTAATGGGTATTCACAGCTAGCATCTTATTATGATTTTAATTGGGTATGTGATAGAGATACTCACAATATCTCCAAAGTCTGCAGTAGTCCTAGCGTTGAAGGAATCTTGCCATTGAGTTCATTGTTATTAAAAACCCTACTCAAATTAATTCACAAGATGACATATTTGAATTGAAAAGCTGGTTCTGTTGAGTAAGTCCACATATATAGATTTAAATTATAGAAAAATACCAAGAATATATATTAGGTGTATGATGGGGCCCATTTCGGGTCAATGGAGCTGTCAGCATTCAAAATGCATGAAGGCATGGCATGTAGTTTATCAACTCTAGCAAACAATTTATAGGTTGAAAACATTTTCTGTTGTTCAATTTTGTATATTTAAATTTACTTCACACCGATCACTAAAGTCCGTGGTGTTAGAAATGCAGCTACTATGCTGTTTGTATTTCATCGTTGTTGTGAAGTCAATAGTTTTTAGTTGTATTTCATCGTTGTTGTGAAGTCAATAGTTTTTAGTTGTATTTCATCGTTGTTGTGAAGTCAATAGTTTTCTGTATTGTTGTAATATGTAATGACTCCTATGGTTGGCAATGGCATTACCCAGTTCATGAGTTCTTGGAATTTCTTGTTGATAAGAAGACCAAACAAGGCAAATGTCATTTTAAATTGAGCAACAACCAACTACTATGATGCAATCAAAATCTTGGTGTCAAAAACAGATTAGTTTTACTGGGATTCACCTTGCTAAAAACTTTCAGAATCCAGAGAGGCAAGTCTCAGTTTTAGATTGAATTTTTACCTAGTGTCATGACTTGTTTGATTATATTAAAAGAAATGCTCTTGGTGCACCACTACAAAGAAATGATTCAAAGCTACCAAGGCAATAGTAAAGTATACCCACATTGTGTACTTTAATGTTATTTTTATTCATTTGAAATGAAATCTAGTGGGTGTTTGGGAAGTGGATTTTTTTATGTTGTTCTGTCATTCAAGTGCATACCAGAGACTCGTGAATAAATAGCTGGTTCAAAGGAACTCACACATGTATCAGAGACATATTTGATTTGAAAAGCGGAGATGGGATTTCGCCAGAGAGGTGATTGCTTCCACAATGACTGTGAATAGTGTAAAGAATTTAGTTAGCTTAAATACAGAGAGAGAGAGAGAAAGAGAGAGAGATTAGATATACAAGTGTTTTGCTTTAACCAGCTTATCCAGACCAGGTGTGCTCCCATTAGAGACAGGGATGGTTCCAGAAAGGTTATTGCCAGTCAGATCCAACCAATAAAGATTAAAGAGATTACCCATTGAAGTCTGCAATACATAAACATGCCACAAGTCTGCAAACATTAGGAGACTTGACGAACTCATTCTTAAGACAATATTCGATAAGCACTTCAAAATATTCTCAAAGATTTTGTTTGGACTATCATCTCCGGATAATCTCGAATAATAGGAGTTGTCACTTCTGCACTTTCATGGTCTGTAACTCTGCATTCTAGCTGGACATACAAAAAGCCCGTGTTCATTCCACAGCAATCTAGAGACTTGAATCTTAACGAAATGAAATTTGGTGTTATTTGAGCTTATACTCTAACTTTTGAGGATCTAAGCACCTCTCAGGTGGTCTATCCTCAATGGGAGGTCTCTTTACTGGAGTCTTGATTGTTTGTATTTTCAAATTCAATGACCATTTGTTCTTTGAAGAATTAGAACACGTCTGGTTCTCTTTCCTCTCTTTCCCTCGCCCGTCATCTGAAAATCAAAATAGAGCATAATCAATTTTTTTTCTGATGTTTTTTCTTCAGTTAAGGGCCATTCAAAACATTGTATATTTAAAAGTAATACCGGGAAGAGAAGGTAAATGCCCCAATGTGGATGTTACTGAACTGTCTTCAGTTTGAACTGAAAACTTGGATTGCTTTAGTTTGGAATTCTTAATTGGGTATGGATCATATAAATCAGCTGAACTTTCCAAATTCCTATTTGAGCAAGAAATGTAAACAGCTTCCTGATAAAGGCCTTGTCTGAAATGCACAACCTGTTCTTCAAGCCTAACAACCTTCTCTTCCAAAACAGTCACTTCAGCAAGAAGCTGTAGTGTCTAAAAATATCAAAAATTCAGAATTATAATCACAATTCTCACCCAAAATACATTTTGTGGTCAAAATTCATTGACTGTTAGATAAAAAAATATTAGGTGAAATTGGGGAAATTGCATTAATGTCAATCTTTCCATTCAAAGTTGTATACCCATTATTCTCATTATTACTAAAATTGTTTGTGGTTCGCTTATCCAAATTGCAAATACTATTCACAATTACAAATATAAAAATGAAATCAAATATAAAAAATGTTTACACA